TAGAAGGCACAGTTCGGCCATAAGCCGCTGCTACGAGAACGACGATCAGCAAGAGAGAGAACTTCATCTTTGCACCAAGTGATCATGCAAAGTCATGTTTTGTGCAGTTCACATGCCAGTTTATATAGTACGAAAGGTCATATATCAGATCGTTGCAAGTAACATAATTGCCATTAACAAGAATAATTTGTTAAACATTACTTATTGTTTTACGTCGCATGTAGAAAGGTGCACATGTTATTTAAAATTGACGTACTTAACAGTTTAAACAACTGGATTATAAATTACCATAAAACGTAACTGTTTCTCCACCTTTGCAAGGAATTACTGTGGCTCGTTTTTTTGTAGAACAGTCTGTCAAACTGTTTAATTATTGTAGGAAATTAATATGCAGGCGTCCACTAAATTTTCTTCGATAACAATAACGTTATACGTCGAATATTGTGTAGCCGCTCAAGTTTTATGTGTCTATTACTTCTAACGTTGACTTGGAATTTTCTTAAAAATTGAAGCCATCTTTTCCTATATGTATTTGTGTTACGATCTTTGACCTAAATTGACGTCGATATTCTTTTGAATAAAAAATTTTAATTATTTTTAATAAATGAAGTAGATAGTTAACGTACATATATTATAATGGCTAAAAATATGTACGATTTTCTATCTCCCAATTGTTTTTACTTTTCATTTTTTGATAGTAACCATCACCACAATTTTATTGTGTGTTTAAGTTTTGACATGTTGTTTTGACACAAAATTTTATACACTTGAGCTTTTCAGGAAATGTACAAAATAGGTAAAATCGTAAGAGTATAAGTCTTTTGAATTCAATTAAAATATTTTACAAGCGTATTCTACATACTATAACTGAACCAAAAATGTTTAAAAAAGTCTAGTTTTTGTAACCCCTATAGAAGGTATAATCATGGTTGTCTTTTGTGAATAATTTGAAGTTCAGTATTTTTGTCAGTTATAATTTATTTAATTTCACTCGTTCCACGCATCACCTAAGTTTCAATAATATATAAAGTTAAAAGAAACATATTAAGATAAGGAATATTCAAATAATTAAATAGGTAACTTAGCATAAATGTAAAATTATAAGAAAGGTATCGTACATTCTGTATATATGAGTTTTTGTTTGAACATTTAGTCAATACTCTCTTCACGATGAGGCCATAATTGAGCTGAGGATCTAATTGAGAAACGACCTGATCCATGGGCAGGATATTGATTTTTGTAATTGACGTCTTGGTAATTCCGCTGCTGGTATTGACTACAGGTCTTGTCCGATTCAAAAAGAAACCCCCAAGGAAAACGTTCCTATTGCAATGAAATGTACAAATGTACTTCGAGTTAAGATGTTGTCATTTAAATATCTTTCGTTGATTATACCGGTGCGATAATTGCTAGGTGGCAAAACGCATTCGTGATCTTCGAATCAAGTGATAATGAAACTCCAAGACAATAATGGCAGATTATTACCAACTGTCGTCATTCAAAGAAACTATAACTCTCTTTGCAAGATCAAAGATCTCGATTCTTCATTCGTATTGATCGTTGATTGTAACTAGACGATTAAGTAATATCTACACCAATAATTTGTCTTTAATTGTAGTTTTGATTGCGGCTGGCAATGATAGACGATTAACTACGATGTATGTGGATGGGAACGGTTACCACTTACCTGGTATTTAGTTGTAAATGTTACCTTGCCCGGTAAATTAAGAAATCTCATCAACCAAAGATGTTACGGGTCTCTTGTGGGCGTGTACAGCTCTGAGATGCAATTGGAATCTATACGAGTGCAATGCTATGTGGCATAGTAGTGTTGCATACGTGTGGTTAATAGCATAACAAAACTACATGCTGCGTGGTAAACGGTGTAGCAACGTCTTCTTTCATTTTTTACAGTAAAAATCTATCTTGAACCATGGAATATTTTTTATTGGTTCCTATATCATATAAGTAATATTATTATATATATCGTATAAGTTATCCACTTCTCAGACTAATGTAATGTACGTGTAGGATTTCGTGCCGATAATTGAATAGGACGTTTCATTTTGAAACGCATGCCTCGAAAACCATTGTAGGCCTTTGTTTCTAGTTTATTCTTACGACAACTTTAATCGCCCAACGGAGAAGTAGTGGTTTAGGTACTAAACTTCAGATGGAAACACATCATAAACGTCGGAACAGAATCCACTGGTTGGTTGAGCTCGTCTCAAGGAGCTATCCCCGTCGTAAACTTTTGTAATTTTTTATCTTTGAAGCTAAGAAACTGCCTAGAACACGATAAAAGTAGAAACGGCGCATAATCTCGGACTTATGATCTGCTCAATGACTCGGAGCAGTGAATTGATTGTGTTCCGAGCAAGACGAACAGTTCTGTGATAAATGGATGGGGACGTGTAAGACTAGCTCCACGGGTAATAAGCAAGCCATTAGATCCTGAAACCGGAATTTATATCATTGCAGATGTACAGTACATTTATAAATTACTTAAATACTTTCTATAACGCAATTAACGATTTTTATTTACATCGAGGAATATTTCACAATATAAACACTACAATCTTTCGTTATTTTAATAAATTTAGTACAGAACACTGTCTACGCGTACCTATTACAATCTATTAAACTATGCTTGTTGTGTAGAGTGCAGAAAGTGCTCGTAAATATTTTCGAAATATTGCATTTGACGCGATAAACGCTACGTTTACGATAAGCTTACGGGTAGAAACCCTTCGCGATTTTTCGTACTTTATCGATTATAACGCTGCCCTCTTCGCTCTTCGATTTATTTTGTTCCGCCTTCACAGATTTCTTCACCTCGGCTTGGAATTCTGCCTGTACGTCTTTCTGTTTCTGTGACGACTCTTGTTTGGATTTCTGTGATTCTTCCTTCCACTCCTTCTGCTTCTCTTTGCCGGCCTGACGTTGTTCTTGCATGTATTTCTGCGACTCATCTTTAGATTTCTGTGATTCTTCCTTCACTTCCTTCTGTTTCTCCTTTCCGGCTTGACGTTGTTCTTGCATATATTTCTGTGACTCCTCCTTCGATTTCTGTCCTTCCTCCTTCCATTCCTTCTGTTTCTCGACTCCAGCTTGTTGTTGTTCTTGCATAGACTGCTGGGATTGTTGCTGTTCTTGCGCAGATTTCTGCATCTCCTGTTGAGACTGTTTCTCTCCTTCCTTCCATTCTTTCTTTAGCCCTTGCTTCTCCTTTTCAGCTTCTTGCGCAGATTTTTGCATTTGCTGTTGGGATTGTTCTTGGGATTGTTGCTGTTCTTGCGCAGATTTCTGCATCTCCTGTTGAGACTGTTTCTCTCCTTCCTTCCATTCTTTCTTTAGCCCTTGCTTCTCCTTTTCAGCTTCTTGCGCAGATTTTTGCATTTGCTGTTGGGATTGTTCTTGGGATTGTTGCTGTTCTTGCGCAGATTTCTGCATCTCCTGTTGAGACTGTTTCTCTCCTTCCTTCCATTCTTTCTTTAGCCCTTGCTTCTCCTTTTCAGCTTCTTGCGCAGATTTCTGCATCTCCTGTTGGGACTGTTTCTCTCCTTCCTTCCATTCTTTCTTTGCGCCTTGTTGTTGCTCCTGCCACTCTTTCTGCTTTTCCTTTTCGGCCTGCTTTGCCTTCATTTCCTCCTCCTTCCATGCTTTCTGCGTTTCCTTTCCCACTTCGTGTTCTTCCTGCTTATGTTTCTTTCCCTCGTGCTGTTTCCCATGCTCCTTTCCTTTTCCTTTTTCCAGTTCTTTTTCCCAACCAGCCTGTTTCTCTTTCTCTTTCTCCTTTTCAAGTTGGTGTCCTTCTTGCTTGTCTTTGTGCTCCTTTCCTTTCCATCCTTTCTCCTTCTCTAGCTCCTCCAGCTTTTCCTTCTTTTCCTTTTCCTTTTCCTTTTCCAAATGCTCTTTCTTGTCCCAATCTTTTCCTTTTTCCGCATGCTCCTTCTTTTTCAAATCTTTCTCTTTCTCGATTTCCATTTGCTTTTCTTTCTCCTTTTCCAAATGCTCTTTCTTGGCCAAATCTTTCTCTTTTTCTAATTCATGTTCCTTTGCATTCGCATTTTCCGGATGCTCCTTCTTTTGCCAATCCTTCTCTTTCTCGTGTTCAATTTGCTTTTCCTTCTCCTTCTCCAAATGCTCTTTTTCTTTCAACTCCTTCTCCTTTTCCTTCTCCTTTTCCATATGCTCCTTCTTTTTCAACTCTTTCTCTTTCTCGACCTCCATTTGCTTTTCCTTCTCCTTCTCCAAATGCTCTTTTTCTTTCAGCTTCTTCTCCCTCTGATGTTCAATTTCCTTTTCCTTCTCCTTTTCCTTCTCCTTTTCCAGATGCTCCTTCTTTTTCAACTCTTTCTCCTTCTCCAAATGCTCTTTCTCTTTCAACTCCTTCTCTTTCTCCTTTTCAACTTCCTTTTCCTTCTCCTTTTCCTTTTCCTTTTCCAGATGCTCCTTCTTTTTCAACTCTTTCTCCTTCTCCAAATGCTCTTTCTCTTTCAACTCCTTCTCCTTCTGATGTTCAATTTCCTTTTCCTTCTCCTTTTCCTTTTCCTTTTCCAGATGCTCCTTCTTTTTCAACTCTTTCTCCTTCTCCAAATGCTCTTTTTCTTTCAACTCCTTCTCTTTCTCCTTTTCAACTTGATGTTGTGCTTGCTTTTCCTTCTCCTTCTCAACTTGATGTTCTCCTTGCTTTTCCTTCTCTACTTCATGTTCTGCTTGCTTTTCCTTCTCGGGCTCTTGTTTTTTTGCGTCCTTTCCTTTCTTGTTCTTTCTCTTACCTTCTTGCTTCTCTTTCTGCTCCTCTTTTTCTTTATTCTCTCCTTCCTTCAATTCTTTCTCTTTTTCCTGTTCCTTTTCTTTCGCCTTCTGTTTGGGTTCCTTCGCCTTCTTCTGTTTCCTCTTACCGCCTTGTTGCTCTTCTAGCTGTTCTTCCTGTTCTTTCAATTCTGTCTTCTCCTTTTCAGCTTCATGCTCCGCGTGCTTTTCTTTCTCGTGCTCGTGTTTCTTCCCCTTCTCCTTTTCGACTTTGAGGTTCCCCCGCGCCTGTGCCTCTTGTTGATGTTCGTTTAGTTTATCTTTTTCTACCTGAACTTCTTTGACATGTTTCGCTTCAGCGGAGTGAGATGCTTCTGCTTCCTTGTCGGGAACAGGCGCCTGTAAACGCATCCAATAACACAATGTAATACACTTCTAAGGAAACGTGTTCGTGTAACATTCGTTACTACCAAAATTTCAAAGGTACTGAATAAACTGTTACTACATTATTTGCAGTAATTTGTATGCTTTTTGAATATTCAGAACGTACTAGTTTAACGGTATGACACTATTACTCTATAAAATATTAACGACGTTAATGCGTTGCGTTTGAAGCTTTGTTGGAATACGTAAAACCTGAAGTGTAATCTAAAATATGTCATAAATACGAACTTGCCTCTACTGCTGAGATGTATTTATTGCTGAGGGAATTCACAACTTGTTCATCACATTGAACATTCGCTGCAAAAGCAGCGACGAGTAAGATAAGTACGAACTTCATCTTTGAACAGAGTGCGTTCGCCAGTGATCGCATATGTTCAATGTAGGTGAAAACAGCGGTTTATATACCTGGTACGAGTCACGTGCTAGATCGTTGCAATAACACAAGTGTCATTCCCATGAAATATTTTCTAAACAGTGCCTATTGTGTACCGTATAGAAATACATACTTATCAATCGACTCGCTAACAGTTTAAACAGCTTGGATATAAATTACAGACTATGGTTTTTAACGCGAAGAGAGCCATGTGTACGTGGATTCGCGTTGATCGATGGCTTACACTTATTTCTTTCGATCTCTCAATTTTATTCACAGAAATTATATTTCTATTTATGTATCTACATTCGTAACAAAGATCTCCAACTCTGAAATTTTCCTACCCTTTACAGAGAAATGTTGGGTCTATACTTGTATGTGTAAAACGTCCTGTCGAACAGGTGTTCACTAATTCCTAATGATAGTAATGCTATATTTAAAGATTACGCGCTTAATATAATGATGCCTGTAATTTTAATAGAAAAAGAATTGTTTTATGTGGTATCGTACTAATATTTGGATACATATTTTCAGTTTCAGGAGCGTTGGGGCACACTTTTCTTACGAGAAAGGATCCACAGATATCAGCGATAAAACAACTTCCGAGCAGCTTGAGGTAATAATTTTTATCCTATTTATTACATTAGTTGTAATATTGCTCTGGGCGTGTGAGAACATGTAAATCTAAAGAGATTTAATATATTCGGTAGATAGCGACCGTGAGTGCCAAGATCGCGTATACGTGACAGCGGTCGAGAATAGTTCTTTAGTGAAGTCACGTGTACGTGGTAGCAGGCATAGAAGTGTAAAGAATTTAACTTCATCGCGTATAACAGCCTCGTAAACTAAAACAACGTTCCAAAGATATTAAACATTCACTGTTACGGGCCATCATGAATTATCTCGTACAGATAATTTACCTTTAGCGCATATATGTATATTCATAATAAATCAATAAAAATAATGGATAGATAGCTTGATGGACAGGTGGATAATTTTATTAGGTAATCTGGGACAGTGTCCCCGAAGTGCATTGAGCTTAATAGAAGTGGGCAATGTGGAGGAAGAATAAAAATCAGCATGTACCAGAGAAATGTATATTTATTCGTTCAAAAAATACAAAATAACGAGTTATATGATACTATACCTTGTCTTGAAAGCAGTTTTAAGCGAGGTTTGGTTTGTAATTTAAAATTAAATAAAATTATCAGATTTATTTTACGTTGATTGGGGGACTCGTGAGTTGCTATACTCGGTGAAAGTATTATGTAGAGACGTTTCCTTTCAGACGATTGCCAAAAATGGCAGTTTTCTGGCATTGTACTTTTGCAATCATCGATGCTTCATCTCGTTCACACTCGGTATAACCACTTTCCACTTTGGACGGTTCACGCGACGCACGGTTCGAGATAGAAATCGCAACCTACTCTATTTTGTAGCGAACCGATGGTACCTATTCTGTTATTTCAAAGCGGAAATTACTGCAGCGACGACTCGTTCGATTATCATTTCGCGAAGTAACTTTGAGCGACGAATTGATTAGGTTTCGGGCTGAGTTTAACGGTTTTAAGGGCATGAATAGGGGCAGCTGCTTGGCTACCAAGCAAACTGTTAGATTTTTAGATCTGAACGTGTTTATTATTTAGTCTTAACTAGTGTCTGACATCTATGGACATTTTAAATAAAAGGGATACATTATTTGTGGTAAATGCGTCCGTTTTAATTCGATACAAAGCGTTGCATATAGTATTTGATATTAGCTATTGAAATTTAGTGCTTATGAAATTCTTGCAGATATGTCCGAAATAATACACTATACTCTTTTCGTTGACAAAAAGCTCAAACATGTTCCTTGGATTTACGCCGGTTATCGTTCAAATGTCCATATTATTTAGGTCTGGGTTAGGTGTCCTTCCTAGCCCTGGACTTCTTGAGGCATGGCGGCTTCAAGAAGGGATCGCCTGTGTCGTTTAGCTTTGCTGAAGAACATCTGCAAAGGACATAGACATAAAGTAATACCAGAATTAGAAAAAATTCTATTTCATATCGCAACGCGTTTTAATGACAGAATTCAGGCCCGAAATCGCGACTGTATTCGAAGTTGACCTATCGTGGATGAAGTATGCATGCTCGTTCGTTGCATCAACAGTGTCTTTCAGCTTTCAGACGATAAATAATAGTTACTTTAATCGTGAAATGTATTCTTGCGAATTCCAGGATAGTATTTCGAGCGATATGCACAGAATGTCTCAGGACTGAAGATGCAACTGTGCAATAGGTAATTGTACGCGCAAAAATGAATAAAAAATGCAGAATAAAATTTGTTCGTTTTCGAAAGAACCGATTTTGAAGATTAATTAGGTACGCGAACGGCAGAATACGACTTGAACATCGGTGTAAGTAGAAACGGCGGGTAGTAGACAGACACGCGGCCAGGCAAATAAGGGCGAGAATTAGAATAGATATATTCTAAAATATGTAAAAAAGTGAAGACTCACCTTCATCATATCGTTGCTGCGTTCGAAGTGGGGTCTCAGAAGCTCACCACCGGGCAAAGATATGATCATTTCCTGGTACTGTTTCAAGCCTTCTTCGAGTTTCGATGGTTCCTCCTCACCTTCCTCGTCGCCCTTCTTATCATCGTCCTTCTTTCCCTCGTCCTTCTTTCCTTCGTCCTTCTTTCCTTCGTCCTTCTTTCCCTCGTCTTTCTTTCCGTCGTCTTTCTTCTCGCAAAGAACGGCCGATGCGAGGAGAAGAGCCAGCAAGAAGTATGCGAGTTTCATGGTGATGCCAGGCAATTGTGCAATCTCAAATCAAAAGATTCAATTGGTCCCAGGTTAAAAGGGGTTTATATAGTCCGAAACTCCCACTTACCGAACCGCCAAAACATCGTAATTCATAAATATGTCTTCCGACGTGGAAAAGTAAATGACGCAATTACTAATGGTCGACTCGTCTAATTGTTTAAACACTTTGGTTATAAATTAGGGTGAAACGTAAATGCGTATAATAAATTTTTTTAACGCTTCTTGGAAGTTATTCTCGCGAATAAAGACCTATTAATTTCACTTATCGCTGTACGCGTTACGTAAAGCATTGAAATATGGAGTAGGGTCATTGTTATAGAAAGTTGTGCGTTTGCACAGTATGTGAAATAGCTATATTTCTCCATAAACAAATACAATGTTTTCAGCCTAAGAAATTAACTACACGTGGTACTTTCCTGTATGGTCGGTCAATACGTCAATAATGTATCGTTGATCGATGATAAATGATATTTGGTAACCGTCGTCGCCCGTTAGATAGCTCTATTGTCTTCCGATTATAATGTCTATTGCTGTTGTTATAGTTCTCAGAAAACTGCCGTCACTCGTGCAATAAACCCAAGGATAGCCAATGCGCGAAACGACTTTCAGCGTTTATCACGTGCGTTCCTTCGACCGCCAAGCATCGACCAATCAAACTAGAAGTTGAAAACGCTCTCACCAATTACCAATCGTTCATCGAGAACCGGTTCACGGCACCCAATGGCGTGTCTCGTTTCGAATTATCGAGAGGCTCCCCGAGCCAATCGGACCGTAAATTCCATCAAACGGAACTACCGTTAGAGGAAAACATGAAAACTTTGACAGTCGCGTTCGAGACACCGCTCAGTCAACATCTTAATCAAAAACTTAAACAATCGTTCGATCGGCGTAACTCACTTTCGACGCGACCTTGCTACATTAATTTACCGTAGAGACCGGTATATTCGCGTCGGTTAACAATACGTTAAGCGCTAGACAAATTTACGACTCATCACCTGTCGCCGCTTCACTTGCTGGTCACTTCTATTCCTACAGTCGTCTGTCATTGTCAATATTCCGTAAGGTTCGTTGTACGCGCATAAATCAATCGATCATTCTGTCTGCCTTCCGACATGAACTCAGTGAGGTTTTTGTGACGACTCGAAAGAATTTTTATATTTTTTTATTCACAAGATCAGGGATGTTGCCATCTAGAAGAGGAGTAGGAGAGAATTTTTACCAGTAAAAAAGGGCTTTCAAGGCTTGGAAACTTAATATCGGGTTACGGATCCCAAATAAAAGATTTTCCTAGGTTCGACTACCCGCATACCCTTATCCCTTGCGGCTGATTTCCAATGTGCGGTCGACTGGTCAACGGGAAAGAGATTATCTCGTAGCATCGAAATATCGCGCGGCGATTACGGAACCTTTGAGCACACCTGCTTGACCAGCCACGAAACCGGTGATCCGAGAGGTCGAAACGCGGAAAGTCCCTGTCGTGGGAACGTTACCGTTGTCATCCTTGAGCGCCTGGTAGCGCTCTCCTCGCGTTCCTGAGAAGCGGGCGTACTTGCGTTTATTTCGGTGCGCCCTTGGAACGATAATCGCGAACAGGAGGCGGCGACATGCGGCCCGCGATCACGTCGGGAGATACGGTTTGATAAAAAGCTGCCTCGCCTCGGCGTCGCAGCGGGACACAAAAGGAGCCGGTCGCGACGCGAAATCGTAAAGAGCATTTACGCTTCGCGGAAATCCGAGCGAAGTTAGTCAAACGTTGCTGGGAACCGCGAAATAATGGCTTTTCCAGCCGACAGCGGCTGACTCGCCGCGAGATAAAAGGGGCCTCGGTGTCTCGCTTTGATGAAAACGCACGCGTGATTATTAAATACGCGGGGGAGGAAAAAAAAACGATTTCCTTCGCGACGGGAAGAAGAATGGAACGCGCGATCGCGAGGAACGACAGCTTTTCTTGTAGCTTTTCTTCCTGCTCGCCATCCTCGAGACCCCGCGGATGCTTTTTTTAGCGGCGCTTTTTTCGCGAAAAATATAGGTCGATGCGCTCTCGCGAGGGATCCTCTTCAGACAACGGTTTTGTACTCGCTTGAACTTTTCGAAATTCGATACACGCCAGTTCGCCTGTTAATCAGATTTACACCTGGAGTCATAAGCGAGACGGGATCGAGAACAGAACGTTGCGCGTTTTCTTTTTCACGTCTGCGAGTTCGCGACCCCGGAAAAAGGTAGCTACAACGATGGACGACATTCGTCGTCGAAACTGGAAAAATTAATTCCACCATCCATTCTCGCCACCCCTCGGTCCCCGTGGCGACCCTGGACCGGTCGTTCCGCAAACGAATGCGATCGTTCGTATTGTCCAGCTAAAATACCGACGGCGGTCCGGACTCGTATTGTTTTCATTCGTTTTCAGCGACCGCGCTCCGGACGATCCTTCTTTCCCCGTAGCTGGCGACGGAAATCGCTCGAATTTTCGCGACTTCCTCTTTCGTTCGTCTTCTTCCGACAGTATCGGTAATGAATTGGAAAATTAAAATTACAAAACGAGGACTGTCGACAGTGCTTCGGCTTCAAAACCCCCGAGGACTTCTTATTTTATAAAGCATCGGTAAACCACGATTCAGCGGAATCTAGCTTTCACGTGAACAACATGTAAATTTATTTTGATATTGCTTGAAAAAATCAAAGACAATAAAATGGGCATCGTAGGATGAGAAACCCACTTTTTTACATAAAGAAAGTTGCTGGTATGATCGGTGAATAATAAAAGGAAAGTCGCTGGGCGTCCAAAAATAGCGACATCGATCTCCTTTGGTGGATCACGCGGTCGCGCGAGAATTGTCGCGATTCCATTGCCGCATTTTCTCGCGAAACATCAAAGCCCCCGGTCAGATTCGACGATCGAGTCGACCAAGGTTCGATCTTATCGCGATATTTTTTGCGCCCCCGGTCAAAGGTCGACGTTTGTCGGTTTGTACGATTTTAGCCGCGAGCAACCGTTCCGTGCTTTCTCGTCGGAACAGGCCGCGCTGTTGACGTATCGAAACCGGTCGCTGGTTCCTTTCCCACGACGTAACGCGAAAATTAATTTTTCGTCGTCGTCGGATAAAAGCATTGTATCGTTGCAAAACTCGTAGCTGTAAACGTTCGTCGCGCTTCGCTGGACTCGCTGCAGACGATATTTCACGTATCGTAACCCGTCGTTACGTAGAAGTCTCCGCGGCACGGGACGCGGCAATGTTTTATCGTTCGATTTTAAACATCTTTCGACAATTTTTTCGTTCGCCCTCTAGTCGAAGTTGCAGCAAACGAATTTAATTTTCGCGAGACACCGAGACTCCGTTTCGAAACGCGGTCCGGGTTCCGTGACCGAGAGTGTCTCGAGCAAGGTAGTCGCGGAAGGTTAGCCTCAAGGTTAACCACGAAGGACTGGGTGCGCTGGCAAAGAAACGCAAATGTTCGACGGCGCCAACCTGGCGCACCGAACCAGCGTCGTCCCGTTTTACACGCGCCGAGGCGCGCCGAGGAAATTGCAAACCTGAAAATACCTGGCGACATTTACGCGGTCCTTTTATTGCGACACTCGAATCGCCGGGCTCGTTTCCTCCTCGCGACGCAAAGTGGATCTAGCGCGCCTTCCACATCCTCGATCATAAATTCTCTCTAAATAATAAACACGACTTCTTGCATAAAACGCGACACGTCTCGAAATAACACTCTCTTTCCATGTTAAACTTAGTTTTAATCGAACGACTCCGTGGCTAAACCGATCAGACTCGCGATTTTTTTTTCCATTTGGCAACTTTCCAGCAGCGCACAGTACGCGCCGAGCCTCGGAGTTCACGCTGCGTTCGATGCGTCTGGTCTAGCTTAAAAAATCGCCGCGCCGGCGAGTCGTGAAACGCGACGCTGTTTGTCGTAATAACTGTACCTATAATCATGGCAATTTTACGCGGCGCAAGAAACGTCCGGCCGACACGGGAGTAAAGGAGGAACGCTTGGCGATAATTAGCCGATTTGTCTCGAACGCTTTTTCCGCGACGCGAGCCGCGCGCAACCGTTAGCGGCGCCGTTTCTCGGGTTCGATGCAGAGAGAACGTTCGAAACGCGAGGCTGGTTAGTGGTACGAGCACCTGCCAAAGAAAAGAACGAGACGCGGAGGCTATCTGCTCGCCTGTAATCTGGAATCGCTGCTGGTTAAGATGGAATAACCGATTATTTGGTTAATCGGAGTAAAAGAATTCTCGCGTAATTGATATGGGATTCCGGAGGCGACGGGCATAAACAACTTTCTTACTGAAAAGTTACACAGTCCTGTACACATTGATAACGGCTGAAAGTCGCGGCAGGAATGCCACGGGGGTATAAAATTGTATTTAATTAGAGAGATTTCGTATGTTGGAACACGAGACGGTCGAGTATTCGCGGTAGAAGGCAGAAGTACCTGTAGAAATCTACTGCAACGTGTAGAGTGGCGGCCTTGTTTCGATGAAATATTGCAGATTTTATACGAAAAGCTTGCGTACTTATAACTTTTTACGCAGATTCGAAGCCATTATGAGGGCGATGCTCTCGAAGTTGGAGTAAAATAATTGTTTTAACGTTTCTCCGTGAAAATTCGTACGAGGATTTTATGTGGGTTACCGATGACGTAACCGTAGTCGAATTAAACATTTCCAAAATTTTCGCGAAAGCCAGAACGATGTTCAGTCCAGATGTCCAGTTACGATGAATGTTGAATTAGACCGTGCGGCACAGTTTAATTATAGAACATATTTATTATTGCCGATAGAGAACTGCTTCTGCTCGGCTCTATTAACCTGACTACCACGCCTGCAATATATAGATGACACGTATTAGGGTCATGTCGAGATCTGATTGTCGTAACCTTGGTTGTTGCACAAGAGGTACCGTTCGATACGATCAAACGGTCGTCTTAGAATAATGGAGAATTGAATCGAGCTGTGTATTTATTTACCAATGGAAGTAGCAAACAGGCGGTGATTATAGTTGACCGTGCTCTACCAATTAAAACTCAATCGCTGTCGATACTAATTGTTAACCGTAAGAAGTCCAATTGCTTCTAAACGTCCTGTTTGTCTCTGTACTTCAACCAGGAACCTGATCGCCCCCAACGTAGGCTAATTGACATTTAGATTCTAACTGCGAGCTCCATTGTTCCCTGCGTCCTGTAACGCGCCAAACTCGAACTAAAATGACCGATTCGTTGATTAAACAACAATGCTCGTAGCTTTTAATAAATCGAAACTTTCATTTTTCGTACGATTAATATTTTCTACTCCTCCTTACTTTACGGGCTATTATCGAGCATAAATTTTTCTACTTTCCTGGAACCTAGAAATAAGATCTCGTAAAAAGGTTTCGAGTCGGTACAGTGAAAAACAATGAACCGGGGATTCGATCGTCCAAGAAAACAGATGTCCAAGTCACGGTGCAGGGACGTCGCTAGCGGATCGGGGACACTCGATCCGCGACTTGCCGTCTCCGAGAAGATTAATCGATCATACAGTGGTGGCGCAGCCTCTAAATTTCGGGGGCGGCAGACCCGATCGAAACGCAACGCCATTACGGGTACGGTCGTGCAGGTGCCGGGGCGCGATTCACCGGTGGACCCAGTCGGACCAGCGATCATTTCGACCGTGACAGTTTCAGCGGCGGAGTCTGATAACAGCACGGAACACTGTGCCCGATAACGCGTACCGCGATTTTGCCTATCTTCGAACGTCCACGACTACCCTCTCGATCGGCACTCGTGCTCTCGAAACTGGAGTTCCTCGCCGGTGTTTCCGGCGGTCGTCCGTGTCGATCGATGAGCTCGAGGACGATGGAGGTTCGGGGGTTCGGTATCGACCGATTGATCCGGGCGGGGAACGGCCGTGGCAACGCGCTCGGCTTCGAATCCAAACAGGCAAAGTAGACTCGCGTGTCCTGCGCCACTTAACCCCGCGTACTGTTGAACGAATCCCTCCGAGAGTAAATTACATACACCGAGTTGGAGATGTGGCAGTTAAAATTATTGTTTGCACAACCTGAGCGTAGGAATGTTAGGAAGTAAATGTTGCTGAAATTGCTGTAGATACTAACTTCGAATTGTAAATCGTTACCGCGAACTCTTTACGTTCTGACCTGAACTACAGTAATTCGCCAACTTTGTTCCCTTCGACGTTAGATCCCGCTTTCGGAACGGAAATCTTTTAATCGTCATTAAAACGCTTTACAGAATAGAAATTATTGTTCTTGTTCACGTATCCCTATCTAAGGTGTTTTAATAGAATTTTATGGTGATCGGATAAAATCGAGTATCGCGTTCTCCATCGGAACGTAAAACGATGATAATAACAGAGGCGATAAGTCGAGCAACGGTAGATCGTTCCCGCGCAATTTAACGCTGATCGTGTATCGGCGGCGCAACAGATTTACTTTTCACCGGGCTCGATAGACACGGATATCCCCGGGAAATTGGAATGTTATTTTCCGCGCGTTAAACAATTTTCGTCCTGGATGCGTTTCCGATTGGTATCAATTATCCCGCGAGTATCAAATTCGTGAAATTCATCGGCTCCGCGGTGCGTGAAAAATTTTTCGGCGAAAATCGCCAAGGCAAATCGTCCGAGTGGAGGATTTCCGGCAGAAAGATGGGAAAACAATTCTCTTTGATTGAATTATTTCAAAGTATCCGTCCTTGAAAATACAGCCAATGAATTTTACGCCTACAATATCGACCACTGACCACATATTCCCTATAAAATAAATCGTGCGGAATCATCGCGCGGCCTTTTGTAGTCTGGTATCGAGTGTCACTGTCGCGTCATTAAAATACGATCACGGAAGCTTGGTCGAGCACGAAATCGGAGCGTGGAATCGAATTTAGATCGTCGACTTCCAGGGAATCGTTGGCAACTTGACGCGAACGAGTCGACTTCTGTTGCACAACGCGTTCATCGATCGAGCGTGTATAGTCGACGGAGGCTGGGCCCTTGCTGTCAATAGCTCTTCCTTAACTCCTTCGGGTAAACCGTCTACTCATCATGCTCGATCGAGCGGAAGCCGGTGGCTGTCGTCGAGGATAACCCGGATTTAGCGCCGCGGCTCTTACTTCGTCCAGCTCCTCCAAATCCGTCCGACCGGTCGAAGGAAAGCTCGTCTGGAGTTTGTATTATTTGGAACTGGTAGCGTACGGTCTCAGACCTCTCCTCATCTTTCCCAACTTTCAAGATTCCCGAGTGAACCGCATAACCGAAAGTCACGAATTCTGTCAGGCAATATCCCTCGAAACCATCCTCGTCGTACGTCGACGCTAACGTATATCTGCGTTCTGTTTTCAGTGGGTAATTCCTGGAGGACGGGAAGCGCAGGCAACAACGGGGAGCCGTCGTTCAACCGGGAAAACGACGGATTTATCTCGCAAACCCCACTGACGATGAGCTAGCGACACGATGAGGAGGATGAAGCAGCGCGTGCTGCTCGCCTGGCCATGGTTGTGGCTGTGGCTGTTCGCGGCCACAGCGGGTTCCCCGTCTTCCGACGCGTTCGCATCGACCACGTTTTCCTCGTCGGCAAGCGGCGGCGGGGGCGTCGGATCGGTGACCAAACCGTTTTCCCAGACAATCCCGACGTCCACGTCCGCGTCGCTCACCGAGGACTTGACGAGCCCACGCGATCGCGAGTTTCGATTCACCCAGACCTCGTACAATGTCTCGATCCCGGAGAACTCGATCGGGAAGACGTACGTGGTTCCGGACGAGAGAATGGGTATAAAGCTAGCATCGTTGGACAGTAGCCTGGACGTCAGGTTCCGTATAGCGAGCGGCGACCGCGACAAATTCTTCAAAGCGGAGGAGCGGACCGTCGGGGATTTCTGTTTCCTTCTGATTCGGACTCGAACCGGTAACGTGGACGTGTTGAATCGCGAGCGAAAGGATCGTTACGTGCTCGAAGTGCGCGCCACGGCGACCAGGGGGGACGGTAAGAACAGAGTGACCATCCTGGAGGCGGACACGACGGTGGTCGTGACGATCCTGGACACGAACGACCTGAACCCGCTCTTCTATCCGACCGAGTACGAGGCAACCATAACGGAGGACACGCCTCTGCACCGCAACATACTCAGGGTAATAGCCGAGGACGCCGATCTCGGGAGGAACGGCGAGATTTATTACAGCTTCGCAGAGGAGACCGATCAGTTCGCCGTTCACCCGGTCAGTGGGGTAATAACGCTCACCAGGCCGCTCAGGTAGGTGGATGTAATAGAATTCTCGTGTTTCGTTTGATGAGCCCGCGGATGAGTCCCGTCGTTGCTCGAACCGTTTACGACGTCGCCGGAGATCTCGCCCGTAGATCTCCAGGCAATTTGTCCCGGGGACTTCATCTCCTCCTTTTTTGGGATTTTATCTCGGTGCATAAAGGAGACGCGTTCTGGCTGTTAACGCTCGAATAGTCGGCTTAACGATGCTTCTAATTTTTCGACACGTCTGACCGACATTGCCGGGGATCACGCGGCTTCTTGCACGCTTCGAGATTACAGTTTCTAAAATGGGATCCCAAGTAGGGGGTGAAATTCATGGTCGAGCTTCTAAGATCCACGATCTTTTGCATTTCTTTTAAACCAAAAATTGTTACATCCAAATTAATTTTAACCCTTAAGTGGATTATTAGGGCTGCTACGGCCCTACACAAGTTTCAACTAATAATTAAGAATTGCTCCTACCGCTCCTCAGAGATGTATCTAAGTAAAATAATTTAGTTGAGATTGAGAGTCCACTTAAGGGGTAATATGAGATAGAAACGATCGCGAAAGTTCTCAGGCTATTTCCAAGGCATAAAGCGATCGAATTTCGAAGAGAATTTCCCTACCTGGAACGCCAAGCACAGTCTTTTCTTTTCACCCAGGTACTCGGAACGCCCGATCCACGAGCTGATGGTTCTGGCGAAGGACCGGGGGGCTCTGTTCCGCGGAGGCAGCACCAACCGGGCCAGCACCGCGAAAGTAACAATCAAAGTGCGTCAAGTGAACCTTCATTCTCCAGAAATTTCCGTGCACCATCTGCCCGACATCGTGGAACACTCGAACGCGGACATCTACGCGATCGTGCATGTGGCGGACAACGACGAAGGCGTCCACGGTCAGATCGCGAGCTTGGACATCGTGGGTGGCGACCCAGCGGGTCACTTCAGAGTGCGTCCAGCCGGTAGCCCGTATTCCGGTGAATACAACATCGAGGTATTGCATCTGCTGGACCGGGAGACGGCGGTCCAGGGTTACAATTTGACGTTGCGAGCGATGGATCGCGGCGTGCCGCAGAGACTCAGCTACAAGTTCGTCCCGGTGCACCTGGCGGACCTGAACGACAACGCGCCGGTGTTCAGTCGCGAGATCTACGAGGTGAAGGTCCCGGAGACGGCTCCCATCAACACGCCGGTGATCAGGCTGAAGGTGACGGACGCTGACGAGGGTAAGAACGCGTTGGTGTTCCTGGAGATCGTAGGCGGGAACGAGGGCGGCGAGTTCTACGTGAACGCGGAGACGGGGATGCTGTACACCGCGGCGAACCTTGACGCGGAGAAGAAGGCGTTCTACACGCTGACGGTGTCGGCGATCGATCAGGGGAACGCGGGCATGAGGAAGCAATCGTCGGCCAAAGTGAAGATCAACGTGGTGGACACGAACGACAACGATCCCACGTTCGAGCAGACGGACATGGAGGTATGGATCGACGAGAACGAGCCGGCGGGCACCCTGGTGGTGAAAATCACCGCGAAGGATCGTGACTCGGGCGAGAACGCTTACATCTCGTACAGTATCGACAATATCCAAAAGGTGCCGTTCGAGATCGACCATTTCTCCGGGATCGTGAGGACCAAGCAGGTGCTCGATTACGAGACCATGAAGAGGGACTATCTGCTGCACGTACGGGTCAGCGACTGGGGGCTGCCGTACCGTCGACAGGCGGAGATGCAGCTGCACGTGAAAGTTCGGGACGTGAACGATAACAGGCCGCAGTTCGAGCGGATCGATTGCACCGGCCACGTGCCGCGTTACGTGCCAATCGGATCGGAGATCATCACCGTGTCCGCCATCGACTTCGACGCCGGGAACATCATCAGCTATCGCATCGTGTCGGGTAACGAGGACGGTTGCTTCGCCCTGGACTCGGCCAGCGGCGTGCTGGCGGTGGCCTGCGACCTCTCCGACATCAAGTCCACCGAGAGGATGGTGAACGTCACCGCGACGGACGGCACGCATTTCGCGGACGTGAACATGGTGCACATGCATCTGGTGAACGCGAAGAGGAACCTGGGCTCCCAGGGGAGGATACTGTCGGACCAGAGCGGGGCGTTCGAGTGCCACGACACCGGTGTCGCGAGACGGCTGACGGAGGCGATCGCCGCCGCGGAGAAGAACAACATGCCCTCGAAGGACGACGATTACACGCTGACGCCCAGCCGGTACGGCGAGAACGTGCACGCGCCCGAGTTCATCGATTTCCCCAACGAGATCAAAGTGAACGAATCGGCGAGGATTGGAACGACCCTGGTCGAGATACGCGCCAGGGACAGGGACCTGGACTACAACGGGAAGCTGGTGTATTGCATATCCGGCGGCGATCGTGACTCGGTGTTCGGCGTCGATCCCGACACCGGCGACCTGAACGTGATCGGTTACCTGGACAGGGAAAGGGAGAGCGAGTACTTTCTGAACATCAGCGTGTACGATCTGGGCAAGCCGCAGAAGTCGTCGTCGAGGATGCTACCGATCACGATACTCGACGTGAACGACAACGCGCCGAAATTCGAGAAGTCCCTGGCCAGCTTTCGGATCTCGGAGACAGCTCTGAACGGGACCAACGTGTGGCGGGCGAACGCCACCGACGCCGATCTCGGGGAGAACGCGCGCGTCACGTACTCCCTGGTGACCGAGACCAACGACTTCCGCGTGGATCCCATGACCGGGGTGCTGAGCGTTTTCGGGAGATTGGACAGGGAGAGGCAGGAGATCTACGAATTGAGGATACGGGCGCAAGATAACGGCGGTAAAGGGCCGGACATGCCGCCGTTGCACTCGGAGGCGTTGGTCAGAGTCACTGTGGACGACGTGAACGACAATGCGCCGACGTTCGCGTTGTCCAGTTACACGGTGAAGATACGGGAGGACGTGCCCGTATGGACGGTGGTGGCGATCGTGGACGCGACCGATCCGGACGAAGGCGCCGGCGGTGATATCGAGTACTTCCTGTCGGACGCCATCGAGAGCGAGGGCTACTTCAAAGTCGACAAAGTGTCCGGTACCATCAGGACTACCCAGAGCCTGGACTTCGAGGAGCGTCAAGTGCACACTCTGACGATAGTGGCTAAGGACAGAGGCGAGCCGTCCCTGACCTCCGAGACGATGGTTATAATCGAAGTGGTAGACGTGAACGAGAATCTACACGCGCCGGTGTTCGACGATTTCGTTGTGTCCGCGAGTGTGTTCGAGAATCAACCCGTCGGGACGCTGGTCACCACCGTGCACGCCAAGGATGCTGACCCCCTCGGCGGTGACTCCAGGATCGGATACACCATTCGTGGCGGCGACGGGATCGGGATCTTCTCCATTGATAACGAAGGTAAGCTTTACGATTGTTTTCGTTGCATGGCTCGACTCCTCTAGAAAGGCTAAGAGTTCACCAGTGTGGATGCACACGACCTCGTGGCAATGCCAAGTCTGTAACGCGAATATGTAGGGTCAGTTGCCCTAATATGAAATAGTTGTTTTTTATACGCATGTTTCACTTGCAGAACTTTTATAGAAACTTAAATATTATGAATTTACCGAGGTCCTCAGTTTCCATATTAGGCTCATAGTGCTCGTAATATGAAATACTATGTTTATATTTGAAGCAGTAATTGAGCTAACACAAAGTTGATGCACTTATCTTATTATAGAAGTTTCACAATATTGTATATAGTCCTTGTATTTCAAAAGTATTACTGGCGTCGTTCGATTGCCACGCCGTAAAAGAGTAATATTTGACTGTTTCGTACGATTACGTTTAATCCCGTACCGCAACGAAGGTTCGTCGATGTAGTAAAGTTGTGTATCGGAATTCGACATTTTACGGGGTCCTCCGCGGAGCAATAAATTGACTGCTGTCAATTAAACTCGACGCTCATAACCGTTTGACCGCCACGCGGAAAGAACAGTGATGAAACGTTCTGTTATCGTTCCACCGGATCGCGGAGACCGATCGGTCCGACACGTTCTCTTTTCGCTCGCTTAAAGCTCGCCTTCGTCGCGATCAATGTCCTTTTGCAAATGTAGACCGCCGGTATTAATGTCAATCCTTTTTTCGAAAGGCTTCCAATCCCCATATGCTCGACTGTACGTTCGTCGACTCTCGCGAGTGCAATTTCTATGTACACGTTCGTTTCAATAACGACGACAAGCGGGACCGCGACGATTATTCTTCCGTAAAATGTCCGTTAATGAGAAATTTGAATTTTAAACAAGGTAAAGATCTACCGTCGATATAAACATTTATTCAAACCTCGCTTCGCCTTTTGACCAGCATCGAGAGTATTGAACGTCCGGCTGCTGAATCCGTGATTTGCATTTTAACTTTTTCACTCCCTGGAAGTTTTCCCGATCCCGACGGTGCTCGGTCCGCGTGCAATTTAAATTCATTTCTTTCTGATTTTAACATTTCTGCGAAGCACGACGCAATAAAAGGGGAACGAAAAATCTCGTATAACGAAACTGACGAAACTACGCCGTTATAGACGCTCGGGTGTCCTCGATCTGATCGTATTTTATAAATATTCAGTCGGTTGTACGCGATGTTCTTCGAGAATCTGTTTTTGGAAACGCACTTTCGGTGGAGGATCAAGACTGTAGATCTCTCAGGTTGTAAAGTCAAGTTTTTAATCCCCATTACTTTGAGTCTGCTGACCACGAGATAGAATTAATCATTACGGGGATTAAAAAAATAATTTAAATCGAGGACAATCTTTTTTTCGTCGAAGCTGTCCAAATCGTAAACTCTCTGCAAATGGTGGCGCGTGCCTCGCTTAATCGTCGCTAACAATGGGTTGAGCGCTCGAGGGTCCGCTATTAAATAAAATGACGCGCGATTTCTCGCGAAAGGGGACCGTTGGCCGTGAACTCGAAAACTGGACACCTCGCGAGTCGCGTAATTCAATCGAGCGCGCTGCGTCGCTATTTAATGAGGCGCGACCGTAACTTCGTTTTGGATCTGTGCCACGGAACGTTCTCTCCGACGTAAAAAAGGCCAGGAGTGTCTCCCTTTTTTATTCAGCGTCCACCTTTTTGCTACCATCGGGATCGATCGATAACAGCGACCGGAAAGAAGCCAAGAATAGGAACAACCGGAGTAAAAAATAGACGCGTTTCGCGGCCCCGCTGTTCCGAAGAACAAATTGGGGCTGTTGCCGCGAACCGGAGCGATTTTAAAGTATTGTTACGCCCGATTCTCCTTCCGGTCGAGATCGAAAGAGGTGGTTCCGCGAAATCACGAACGATTTGCTCGACGCGCCGTTTCCCCTCGCGGAGGAAGCGCAATTCGCTCGAAGTGATTTTTCGTTACCCAACCCCTCCGACTTCTGGCGAATTAGTCGGCTTTTACTATGGCCACCCCGGGAGAAACGGATCGATCCTTTTCGGTACGATTTCCATGCTGTCTGCGAAATTCGCGCGTTACCAGCGCGTGTCCAAAATTAAAAAGTTAATTAAACGCCACGTCGAGACAGTCTTCCGAAACCCATCGTCTTCGAGTAAAGCTGGGGTACGTTTCTTCCACCGATGTCTTAGAATTTATTAGCGAGAACGTTCGCGTTTCTAGGGACCCCGTGCACTCTGAATGTCTCGCTCGTTTCTCTTCGACTGCGATTGCCGTGTCATGACACCACGATTCGCCGCGCGTAGTCGCCTGACCTCGATGTGCAACCTTCAGATTTAGTTCTCCCTTAACGTTTCCCCGTAGCAAACTTGCAAGTCGCATACGGCTAAGGTAGGTTGCAGTATCGTAAAACTACCCCACTGGGAACCGTTCGGCCAAGTCATGTCACAGCATCCTTAACAGGATTTTACGTTGAACTGGACACATACCAGACAAATTAACAACCCTAAGCATCCAGCTTTGGTATCGTCTTCGTTCGTAGATGTCGAATTTGTTTCACAACCGCTAGATTTCACCGTAAGGTTGATAAATTTGTTGGTCGAGAAATTACTCGTACTATTTGCATTGTGGCCACTTTGAATAATTCTTGTACCCTTAGGATGTGTGATAATTGACGATACAAGCGGCAATTCGGTTATTCGACGAGGGAAATTTATTTTAAAAAAATTACGGAAGACTTGTCTAACGCGTCTGCCCAATCGTCGATATTACTACTTGTTTTTAGGTGTTTACGTAAGCCAAGCCATACTTGCTCATTTTCAGCATTAATATTGCAATCGTATTACTTGTTTGGACTAGGTAGAGTACAGTAATACCAACAGAAAAGAGATAATACCATGTCGCGATCAATATTTAAGAATTTCAAGTAGAAATAACGAATAATAGTCGGACGCGTACCTAACGTATCTTAAAAAGTCAATTTTCTCGAAAACGAAGCTCCGTATAAAAAATGTTGTCTTACATTTTCGATTCAGTTTTTCACGCAGAGACCACATTACCATTCCATACCACCAGTTTCATTCCACAAAAGTCTACTGAACGCCGAAGTCACTTCAGACGTTTATCTATATTTTTAAGTTTACGTAAGATCCAATTGCCCGGTTACGGTGTATTCTGTAGCGAGAAAAGATCGCGGTGATCAAGCGAATAACTCGTTAGTGCTAATCTACTGTAAACGATCCCGTTGAAGCGCAAAGTAGCCCGTTCGACGGTCCTCGTCTTATTGTTTCTCCCCGGACGACGGTGGCGGAGAAAGCTAATCCGAGATTCCTTCACGGATTTTCCTACTTTTAATTTCCGGTGCTTAAGCGAGCTATTTTCCACGGGCTTGTCGCAAAAAAAGCTTTCCAGGACTGGTCGGGATTACTCGAACGCTTCCGTTCGAGAATATCTCCTAAAATCTCGTCGCGTCAACTCGACCTTGCCGTCCTCCGGGGACCGACGGGAGCTTAATTAATATAAACGTGACGCTAATGACGCGGTTCAGCGATGAATATCGCGGCCAGGTATGTTTTTTTTTCTCTCTCTCTCCCCGCGATCTATTTACTAATGACCGGCAGTCACCTCGACGGAACGGGGAGCGGCTCGCGGCGCGCGGCCATAAATCGCGGGCCGTGACGTTTCGATTCCAGTCGAACATTTTGCGCGATAAAATAGACACCGGTTGAAGGTTGCAGAGCGAAAAAAAGGCGTAAAAATAGTGGCCATCGTCCGCGCTTTAGTCACGTTCGACGAGTTTCCATCGTTCAACGAAACAGAATGCGGTCGTACGACTCGCGAGCTCGTTGCATCCTGATCGGCGTGCACTCTGACAGTAATCGTTGCAAGAGACCGCTATTCGACGTGAAAATATATTTTCAAGACAATCAGCAAAAACAAGGAAACAGCGGAGTAAATTCTTTGCGTCTTGAGATCGTAATAAATTTTAACTCGGTTGGATTTTTCCTTGAATTTTCGAGGTCGCAAATGTATGCTCGGATAAAATGTTTAAAAGAAAAAAGAATTGAAATGTATGGGACCGCGCGGTAAACTGTAAAGGCGCGAATACGAGCGTAAATGCGTCCGTGTTTGTGTTCTTGGGTTAAGCGTGTGTGATTTTTCCCTCCCGGTGGTGGAGACAATTTATTGAACTCCTCTCGTATAGTAGTTCTGTGCGCGGGAGCTGCATTGGCCGCGCGTTGCAGTTCGTGCGCGACCGAATGTGTGCCGCGCGGGGGTTATATCGATCTCCCGTCGAGCAAAAATAATACATTGTCAGTGGTATGCATATTCAACCGATGTAAATATTCATAAGTTGCTGGTGTATTGCCTCCGTGTTTGGAGCACTAGCGACGGTAACGTCGTTCACGGTGTGTTGGTGCTCTGACGGACTCGACGATTACACAGACTCGCTGTCCCATTGCGATCGTTCGATAAGTTCGCGATTTTAACGCTAACGATCGATCATTCCTGTCGGACCACATGGTGGCCGTCCTGGGCACACAATACGAGATCCTTTAGCCTTCGGGGGCCCCTGGAAGACAATTTCCAGACGTCTTGTCTGCTTAATCTCTTAAAATTCAGCTGTTGTTTAGCTCGTTGAGTAAAAATGGAAAAGGTATATTCCGTAAGGGAATTATTCTGTTCAATTCGTTCGAAGAGATTTATCCTGCGGGCGCTCGTTAGCCGATCGCATTCCTTGGTTCGTTTAGGGCAAACGACGTCGCCGGATGATCGACCAGATTTGCTATGACGAGGTTCACTCGGTCGCCGCCGCCGCGTGGAAAATGCAGTTAAACTCTGATCACCATAGAAAACTGCCGCGCCCAATTTGCCATGGCACGGGCCACGCGCGCTAAACGAGGCAACGCGGTGTTCCGTGTTCGTGTTTTCAAAGTCGATTTTGTCAAAAACGAAGCCTCGAATTACTCAATTTTACCAGATATTTTCGA